TTCTGCAAGTTTACAGATCATTCTGCAAGTTTGACAGATCATTCTGCAAGTTTGACAGATCATTCTGCAAGTTTGACAGATCATTTTGCAAGTTGACAGATTTTTCTGAAAGGCCTGACAGATCATGCTAACAGATTGACAGATATTTGAAAATTGTCAAATAATTCTATAAAGATTGACAGGGTAATTCTGAATGTTTGGAAAATCATTCTAGAGGTTTGTCATATTATTCCGAAAACTTGGAATATTAATGGTTTGACATACTCTGAAGGGTTTGACTTTCTATGGTCAAATTGATTTTCAATTGTTTGGATTCATTCTGAAGGTTTAATGTAACAATCTGAAGGGTTTGACATATCATGATGACTTTCCTTACCTCCTAACACATAACCCTTATTAAAAACAGTCACTTGGAGACCTCTTGAATACCATAGAAAATTTTCTCTAAAGAATTGGCTTTAATTTTGAAAAATGTCTATTTGACATATGTCAAGATTATGAATACAGGATGATTTGTACTGAATTTCTATAGTTTATTGTACTTTACTAAATGTATTACTATTACTTTTACTTTATTATATACTTATAATGGCTTATATATTAAATTCGGTCCATTGAAGATTTTCAAAGTCTGACATATTTTTATTTTGACCATTTTTATTCTAGAGGTCCCTTGTAGATTTTCTAATTAAGACAATTTTTGCTGGTATATTTTTTGATAGTGTTATATAGAAATTTGGACAGCACTGGTCAGGATATGGGCAATTCGTTACAAACATTTAGCATCTTGCTAGTCATTTAGCATACAACAAATGACTATGCACCTTGCTTTTACATAATTGCTTAAAGGCAGCAATGTACTAGTTTATTTGATTCAAATGTTTGTCACTGCAAAGATGTATACCATCTCAAACTTCTTCAAAATGATAAAGATCTACAAAATTAATATTGGCAGCAATCCACCCTATCTGTTTATGAAACATAAATGTACTGCTGTATCATGTTGAATTACGGAACATGGTCAACTTTACTTAAAAGTGTTACTTGTTGTTCTCATTGAGTTTCATATTGCAGTTTGATAGTGCTTTAAAATGTGATATTTGATATCTTATGAAATATTTGCAATATTTTTCGTTCACTGAATGACTTAAATTTTCTGAATATTTTTTCTAGCATGATATTATAAGGTAATGGTTTTTTTTTTGGTTTTTTTGTCAGCTGAATATGATATGACATAGATATGTAATGGGTCTCCTAACACTGAAGAGTAGACCTATATATCTTGTGCAATCATGTGTCACCTTGTAAAGTTTGTTCGTTTACTACATAAAGGATGGGGGGACCATTATAAATTTAAAATTTTGCTGTCTGACAACTTGTTTGGTTGACATCATTGTGCTATAACAATGTGAAAAGATGCATTGAAAATAAAAATATACGAAATATGTATTCATTGAGTTTGGTCCTATAGGGACAGGTGTTATAAGCTTAATGTTGAAAAAATTACCTATATTGTGTGCTTATTATCACAAAAGTGTTTTCTATTGTGCATTAAAAGAGGATTTACTATGATATTGTGATAGGTTGGTAATAGATATCTGCTGGATTTCCTTAAAGGAAAGTTTTGATTCAGGACTGTTGTTTTGTACTGTATTTATAATATGTTGATGTTGTTCAGACTAGTTTAAGACAAGAACACCAAGAATAATAGTAGTGACTATTAAAAGATTTGACCAGCGAGATTGTTTGTGAAAGTGGACTGGGTTGATGCTATCAAGAAATTCATACACTGTCATACTCAATTCTCATGTCTTAAAAAGACTTGTTTACAATTTTTTCATATCACCATTATGATAAGATCAAAACAATCAGAGTTTATATCATTCGTTTATATTTCTACAATTATGTTGGGCTATGATATTTGAGACTACAGGCCAGTAGGTAAACAAACCACCCAGTTGATTTATGCACATATTTAATTAAAATGTTTTAATTTGCATATGAATTAAGTTATTCGGTTATACTGTTAGGTAAAATATATTCATGAGTTTACATGATAATAACATGGCAGTAACTTGTTGAACAAGACGGTATCCCACCAAGCCTACTCAGTTGTGACAGGAGAATGAATCTAGGTTTCAAGATAGCCTATTAACCAAGTCATTCAAGAGGAAAAAGAAGCTCACATTTTTTCAAATCTGTAACTTTTATTGATGTTTATTTATCATACATTGAAATTTTGAAATTTTCTGGAGATATTTTGTGATTTCTTGGTACCTTTCTGTAATTACTGTAGACTGAAATATTCTTGAAAGTGGTACAAAGTGATAATCTTTTTTGTGGAAGTTTCAAGATAATTGGAATTACTATGTGATACATGCTATCTTTCTTTTAAGCCAGGATTAGCCAAAATTTTGTTAGGCTTCTCTCTCTTTCAAATCTAAATACCCAGTTTGACTAATAACGTCAGTGGGATTGTTTTTTAACATTTAATTAAAATTTGTTGGATTATGTTAATATGTAAGATTCAATATCTCTTTAAGCTGATGGTTAGCATCTTTAATTGTAAAAATGTGAAGGGACTAATAATTAAGTTGTGTTGACACTGTGCATTACATTGTTATTTTATATAGGTAGAGGTATTTATATACAACTCTACTGAATACTGAGTTTAAATTGTTATAACTGGTTATTTCAATTGTTAAATGACAAGTTTGTTTGCCTTCAAGTGAAAATACAGGATAGGGTGACTAGGCAGACGACATCCATGTGAAGAACTTGACGCATTTCAATGACATTTGACGATGGGATTCACAAATTAACATCCTTCATTCATGGAGACAAGATATATATCGACATAACCTATCATTTTACCTGTTTTGTGTTGTAATTTACTTTTTCTATTCACTAGTGAAATTTTTCAAGTGACTTTTTGTGATGTTAATTGTGATTAGAATGACAGTGTATGAAATGAAAAGGATTTCTTAAAAGGTCAAGGTCAAATATGTTTATGAATTTTTGCCCGATTTTTTATTTGACTTAAGTTGGTGCAGAAATGTAACAATATATTTATTGAAGAATAATTTTTCTGTTTAGTTTGTATGGAGATGTCAAAGTCATAAGAAAGTAACTTTTTTTTTGGAAAATGAAGATTTAAAATGGGTGCCAAAGTGATGTTTGAAATTTGCAATTGATAGAGTTCTTGGAAAAGAAAGAATCAGAAGGAGTATAGTTTGTCATCAGAATGTCGTGTGACACAGAAAACACTGTGTCTTCTAACACAAATCTACACACATCACTTCCCAGTGTTACTGTGGGTGTTAAAATGAAAGTATGGTGTTATTGGCTCATTACATATACAGTTAAAGTGTTACCGAAATCTTTAGCTCATGGATTTGTACAATTTTTATCATGGTTGGAAATACTCAAAGCATATAGGTAGGTTAACATCGATAGGATATGATACCAAATAAATCATATCAAATAACTAAAAAACATATCCATAAGCTGCTGATAGCAAGTTCATAAATATGACTTTCCCAAGAAAGCTTTATTTTTCTTCCATCGAGTTTTCAGAATTTTCTGTAATTCTTAATGTCTGAACAGGTCATACCAGGATTTGTTTTGTCTGTGGGTTAACTGGGATTCTTTAATATAAAAAGATGTACATGAAGCAAAAGCCATTGTTTCATGGAAACACAAAGAATCTGTAAAAAAACAATGCAATGCGATCCTCCATTGTTTTTTTTGGATTTTGAAATTTTGATATATGCCTACATTTACTTTTATGTATACAATGTCATTAAAAGCGAAGATAAGTGAACTCAATTTAACTAGTTATTTAGTGAAATGTTGATATTTACATGTGTCAATATGTCACATAACTACAGTGTAAATAATACTAGAAATATAACCTTGATACATGATGTAGGTGGTACAGATATAGACTTGATGTATCAACTTGATGTATCACTCTGACAAAACGTATTTTTACTCCACTTCATAACCCAACTGTACGCATATTTTTAATAAAACTTCTTCATGTGCATCACTAAAATAAATACTGAGGTGGATGTTGCTAGTAGAATATATTCACCCTTCCAGAATACTTAATGTAACTGCAGAAATAGTCCATTCCATCTTAAAGTGAGTACATGTAATAATGTTTGTGGTATACTTGTATTTTGTGCTATGATAGTGAATGGGTTGATGAAAAGCTAGTTAGGTTGTCTTATGCTCATTGTTGAGGTGCCATAATTTCTATATCTCCTGTAAGACAAAATTCTAAAATTGGCCAAGAGTACACTTAAACCCTTGAAGGAAAGCTCCCCTTTTATTGAATTGAAAAATAAATGATAAACTGAAAAGCATGTATTTGGACCAAAATCTATAGATGACAGACTAGATACAAAAAGACACATATTGTAGAAATTTCCTGATAAAGTTCTCAAAAACATCCATATAACAAGGAATCTTTGTTCTCAAGAATCCTGTTTATCAGCTGGTCCTTGGCCAAATTCTACAATACTAATCTACCACTGATTATCTGTACCTGTTTACAGTATAAAATGAATGAAATGATTGAATGAAGAATTTTCTTTAAATAAAAGCTAGCCATGATATTTATAGTATTGTCAGTATAATGAATGTAAAGATAGCCCTTCCTAAAGTTGACATAACCTGTATTATATTATGTTGCACCCATGTTGAATCTACATATAAAAACTGGATATTTTAATTCAAGGTGAATATTTAACTGACAGTGATGAAATAAAGTCAAGCTAAACCATTTCATTTGATTTCCTGAAAATCGATATTGGGTGCATTTGCACTGAATTTCTTTCAACCAGATCAACTATCATGAATAAATTCATAAAATTATTGTACTTTTGTATAGCAGAGTATATGAGAATCATTCTAAATTAAGAATGGATCTTAATCTTCAAAAACTACCTTGAAAGTTATGAATTAGGTATAATTTTGTTAAAATATATTTTCAGGTGCTCAAGGTGTAAAAAATGTCTACCAAATTGGTATTTTGAGAAAGATGGTAGTTTATTTTGTCAGTCAGACTATTGGGCTAGATTTGGTGAATCATGTAATGGTTGTTCAGATCTCATAACAGGACCTGTCATGGTGAGTTATTGTTAACATTTAAAACTTTTATATCTTGACTGAAATATTGCTTTTAAACTAACAAAAATATATGGGTGTATACTTTACTAGTTGCAGTTTGCAGGGGAACAAGTTCATCTGGGTACATAAACCTACACACCAAAAATGAAAAATATTGATCTAAAATTGTACAAGGCTTGTAACGAGATGGTAACTGGCACTTTTGGTATTTTCACTCCAAGTTCAACACTGTCAATTAGTGAAGATTTGTTTGAACATAACCAAATCGATAGAAATTTCCATAATCTTACCAAGTTCAAGATGAAGAGCATGCAGACAAAGCAGATAAACCAAATATTCAAAATACAAAAGAATAAAGAGACCAAAATTTTGCTCTCTCATTCTGTTAGGTTTCGATTGGTCAAAAATAGCTGTTTATCCATATTAACCTCATTTCAAAATGTATTAAAAGTGATAGAACAATAAATTTGTAATGATTGTATACTTTAATGTGAAAAACTCGTGAAATTCCCTTATTTCAGGTGGCTGGAGAACATCGTTACCATCCAGAATGTTTTAAATGTGTTCATTGTGATAGTTATATTGGTGATGGTGAAACATATGCTCTAGTAGAGAGATCAAAACTATTCTGGTATGTATTCACATTATTTCTTTGGATCTGTGAATTTTGGCTCAAGGTGCTAAATTCAAATTCCTAATTTTACAAACTCATTTCATAAAACCAATCCACACTTCTTTAACTTCAAGCAGAATCATATGACTTTATTCAGATTACACTTCATTTGCAAGGGAAAATAGAAATATTTAAATCTAGAAAATTCTTAAACAGAACAAAGGGCCTACATGTTTAACTAGATCCCCTTGTCATCATTGCATGTCAAAATTTCTCTCATCGCACACTTTATGATGTTTTTAAACACTATTGACCCTATCAGAAGCAGAAACGTAGGATGTTAAATTTCATTAGATTTAATTTCCTCCCGATATAAATTGTTTTATATTACAGTGGAACATGTTACTCCAAAGTAATGAAGCCATTATTGGCTGCATCACCACGAAGACGGAAACCTCATTCTATACAACTAGTAGAAATACCTCCTACCCCAGACAGAAATCGTGGTGTACAGTTTACTATGGATAGACAGAGGAACTCATCCTATAGGGTTTCTAGAAACAGTGATATCTATAGGAAATCACCAGCCATTAAAATTACAGAGTAAGTTTGTACTATGTATAAAAGTCCATACTGCATTTAGTATGCATGTATTGGACAATTTCCAGGGAAAGGTACTCTGCATTTATGTAGGACCGTTGGCAATTTGGCAAGTAGTATTTTAATAGTTGTTAATCTAGTCTCCCTTCTTTTGATGCATTTTTCATTGGATGAACAATTCTATGGGACCATGAATGGCCATCCTTATTCGGAGGGTTGTTAATGGTAAAGTTTCTGAAAGGGTCATATTAAGAGAATAATTGTATATTTTGGTATCATTTGGTAAACTTTCCTAATTTCAGTCTGGATGTTAGTCCAGATCTACAGGGTTTAAAGATTGGTGATCGTATATTAGAAGTAAATGGTTTAAATGTTAGAGATAAATCTGTAGAAGATGTAAGTGTTCTAGCTTCTTTACCGATACACACTAACCTTATATTTTAGAACACAATTGTCTTTTATCATGTTCAGATTTAATCTTTCTTCACTTCAGGTTGCAAATTATTTCCTTTGATCTTGAGTGATCTTAACAGAAGTGCTTTTTCGCATTCAGATAAAGATTTGAACTTACGTTTTTAAAATAATGTATTATTCTGTGCTGTTTTAATGATCTAAGCACAATTCAAAGGAAATTCAATAGCAAATGAGCCTATTTTCTGTATTTCTAGATTGACACAATATTTAACAATACCAATGAAGTTTTACACATAACATTAGAACGTGACCCATCACCATTACGCCATAGTTCAGATAGTGATAGTCCTACAGATACATCATCACCTGATCAAGTTATCATTGGTAATACACCAGTTCAATTACGTCCTAGATCATCTTTAAAAGCCAGGAAGTAAGTTTGGTAGCACTTTTGGTACTGAGTGATTTAGAAGCATATATCATATCTCATTATAGATTCAAAACATTCAGTGATATTGTGCAAATTTTTGTGATTTCATTCAGCTTTTGTTAGATTTGCAAATTCTTACTGAAATTCACTGAAATCCAATGAAAATTATTTGTAAATTTGTATTTTTTAAAAATGCCTCGGTTGCTGATAAAAGATTCTGATTTTAGTTACAGTCCATCAAGAAGAAGAAGTAAATCACCTTCCCCATTACCCACTAATAGAGCACTAAGTATAGATCTATCGAGATCTAGTTCCTTACGCAGTCAAACAGGTTCTCATCGTGTCTTCAGAGTCATTGATCTAATAATTGGTGATCTCCTTGGTCAAGGCTTCTTTGGACAAGCTTTTAAGGTAAGCTTTTTCTGGAATTGGTGTTCACATGTTCTTTACATACTAGGAGAACTTGTAAATGTAAATGATCAAATGATGAAAATTTAACAGGTTAACACTTTAAGAATTGTGATGAAATGTTGCCAATTGAAAGTACTCTTGAGACATCAAATAAATGCTCACTGTCAAGACATGTCCTGAAAAGTCAACAAAAACTCTTGTGTGTAGAAACCAGTACCCTATGTCGCCTTGAGGCAAAGTTTTAAGTACTATAGGGACTGAAAATTTGACCTAGGATGTGCTAGATAACATTATTAAGAGATTTAAGATCTTTAAACCTTGAAAGTCATAACTGAACTCGTGTTGGTAGTCAAAGGGAAGTAATTTATGATGGTGATTGTTTATTTTAATCAGGTAACACATCGTGTAACAGGAGAAGTTATGGTATTAAAAGAATTATTTAATTTTAATGAAGAAGCTCAAAAAAATTTCTTGAAGGAGGTAAGTCAAACGTTTATATTTTTAACATAGATAACATAGCTTCAAATGTGAACATTTTCTATTCTTTGAAGGTCTTTAATTCACTTCCAGAAATAACGAGTACAAGTACTTATGTCATGAAATTTATGAAATGAGTTGCTGGATGATAATTTTCCCTAGTTGCCAAATTCAGATGCCATGTTGTTTTGTTTAAGTTGAGCATGAATACATGACCTACATGATTTTCATTCTTATTAACCTGTTTCAGGTTTATATTGTTTTTTCTACCTGAAACAGTTCTGGAAATTTAGACTTACAAAAACATGTTTTCCCATTGAATAACAATCAATCATTAAATACATCCCGACAATGCAAAGTTGACCCCATTCACATCTTTTACATGATTGATATAGTCATTGTATTGAATATAATTTCAGGTTCATATGTTACGTAACCTAGATCATTCCTGTTTGTTGAAGTTTATGGGTGTACTATATAAAGATAAAAAATTAAATTTAGTCACAGAATACATCGGTGGGGGAACATTACAAGAACTTTTATTAGATGAAAGTAAAGAAATAACCTTAGTCAATAAAATAAAGTTTTTAAAAGACATCTCTAGTGGAATGGTAAGTCTTTGTCTGATATTAATTATACTCAGAACTTGAGACTTATTGGATGACCAAAAATAACAGCAAATAATAATGACTGACAATATTACAAATAAATACCTTATCCCAAATTTTGATCATTGTACTGAAATGTCATATTTTCACACTGTGAAGTTATGTAAGCTGTTGAAAGACACTTGTTATTTGACTGTAGAATATATTGATTTGGACATAAATTACCAAGATTACATGTATATTAACTGCTGCTACTCATGTCCTGGAGTTTTTATGATTTATATCCTTGCAAACAAGAATAATTTTCCCAATCAATAAATTATGATTTAGTGTTTATTTTTAGTTGAATGCATTCAAGTATTATCTGTCATGATTTTTGTTATATTTGTATTTTTAGAGCTATTTACATTCTATGGATGTTATACATCGAGATCTCACATCACATAATTGTCTGGTTAGATTAGTAAGTATTATATTTATATTCAATAATAACATACAATATTTAGTTAACTTTAACTTATAAGAGTTACTGTGCACAGTTAAAACTGTATTTAAAAAGATACAATAGAAGTATTATTGTGCGTATTAGGGACATATACAGCTTCCATTTGCATCATTCAAATTTTCTGTGCAGACATCAGAATGGAAAAATAGACTAAATGAACACATCATTAGTGCAAATTTATTTTAATAAAAATAGTGGTTCTAAATCAAATTAGACCAAAATGAGCTTTAAAAGTGAAAGACTTGATAAAATCAAGAGGTAAATGTTTTATGGAATTTTTGTTATCTTATTTCTAGAATAATACAGTAGTAGTTGCTGATTTTGGTTTGGCAAAAATAATGTCTAAAAATACAGATATGCCTTATCCTGATATAGAACGAACACCAAATAACAACTCTAGCTCAAACTCCAAATATAAACGTAAAACTAAGAAAAAGCGATATACTGTAGTTGGCAGCCCGTACTGGATGGCACCAGAAATGATGTCTGGTAAAATTTATGATGAAAGAGTTGATATATTTTCTTATGGTATTATTGTGTGTGAAGTAAGTTGTTTTCTTTACATTATGTTGTATTGCTGAATTCAGATGTTCAGAGAAACCCTTGCATTATTGGTTATTGAAAAATGCATGTTTGGTCCTGCATTGCATGAAATAACTAAACTTGACATATTCCAAAAACAAAAAAGTAGATGAACTAACCAAAGTTGCTTTGAATATGGTTGCAGAAGTAAGTTTCAGGTATATTTGTTTGGTTTGGCTGTAGATATAGTAATCATGGCTTTGTAATTGTTATGATTATTACATTTAGTTTAGGTTTGGCTGCCAATAGCATTAAAAAGTCTTCTGAACCCTAATATCTTAATGTTTTAATCATATTCTTTCCACTATCTTTCCTCATTTTCCATGCATATCATCTCTCTCATGTTCTCCCTTATCCAAATCATTGTATTTATATGGATCCTCTGATTGGGTTACAGACTACCACTGTTTATTGGATTTAATGAAATATTTTGCATGTGTGTATATTGGTAAGGTCAGGAGGTAGTTTGCCTTTCACAGTTTTTTTGAATTGTTGCATTTGAATAAACCAGAAGACATTGTATTTGGTGAATCCAAACTGATGAAAAGTAGACAACTAAACATGCAGTCATTACTCTGTATTTGAGTAGAGTTATGTATTTGTAAATTTTAATAGTCTTGTTTTCAGAATATAAATATATGTTTGTGGTTGATTCTCACTGCAATAATAAACATTATCATTATAATAATCCCCCATAAAATGAATAATTTTCAACTGTATCTTGTTGTGTCTTTGATTGTCAATTGAATAATCTGAAGACAATAAGTTAATTGTATATGAAATGTGAGTACATGTTTATTTGTGTGGGTTTGTTCATGTTGTCTAAGCTAAACCCTCAACCTCATAATGGAAAACTCCCAGGACAGTGACATTCACCTTGTGTCACCCCATCCTTCCTAAACTTTTCTAATAAATATCAGATTCAATAAACCACAAGTAAAGGTTTTAATTCATCATGTTGAAAGAATGCTAATTGGTTTGATAGATGCTCTCTGTAAGGTGTTCCAAATCTCATTCTTGTGAACAAGTCATGTTGCATGAAAAACTTTTCTTATCAAGTTCATGGGAAGGGTTCTTGTGCTTTATATATTTTTGTTGCTTTACATTTATTTGAAAAGTCTTGCAAGGAAGGTTCTCTGTTCTAGCCTCAGAAATTCATCTTTCATTTTGAAGAGGACAGAAAGTAAATGAGGTCTTCCATAAAATAAAATAATATAGGATGTTGAGAAATTGAAATGGTCCAAGTCCAAGTACAAGATATTTATGCACATTCATGTACAATTTCACCAAATAGACATCAACAAACTTCTTCAGTAGTTTTAATAATAATCACTACAGAATAAACTTTCTTTGTATCATGTTGATTACTATTTGTTGTCCTCAAAAACTGTTGGTGTATGTTATGACTGCTTTTGATGTGCACCAAATTCATTGATTAACTATAAAAAAAGACAATATGATTTTATTGTTTGATTTTTTTGTCCAGCTCTTCAATGTTGTGCTTTTGTTATGTGTTCACTTTATGTAGCATCTGTTATTGTTTTTCTGTTAATTGTCTGTTTCTAGTCATCTCTTTCTGTTTATTCATCATATCATTCCTATATCATCTTTTGATTAACAAATTTCACTAGGGACTGAAAATATTTTTGTAAACAAATTTAGCAAGTTATGAAATATGAATATTGCTTTTGTAGGTGATAAGTCGAGTGTCAGCTGACCCAGATTATCTGCCTCGTACCCTCGACTTTGGTTTAAATATGGAACTATTTAAAAAGCAATATAGTGGAGATTGTCCTGACACCATGTTTATGTTGGCTGCATTGTGTTGTCAACTTGTTCCAGAAAAAAGGTAAGCACAATAATAGTCCTCTTCAGCTGATAGAGCTTAATCCTGGCCCCTCGTAACTAGAGTTGGAGGTATATCAGCTCTAAGCCGTGATACATGTTTACAGTATCTGTTTCATCAATCTGATTTATTTTACAATATCATGCTAATAATGTCAAGGTATATTGATACTAATATTTTTTTTAAACAAATTGTGTCCAAGCTAAACAGTGAAAGAGTCGTCAGTTAAGTTGTTAGTCTTCCATTGTGCTGTAAGATGTGTATATATATGTCCCAACTTACTTATATTACCTGGCAGAAAGAAAGTCCTATTCTTGTTTGCTTTTATATACAATAAAACAGATTGCTATGACAATGGAGATAGATTGTTACTTTTATGGTGATGTTATTTGGTCAATTCGTCAATATGTTTGTAGTCAGTATGCATACAGCAATTATCATATTTTCATTTTACTCTCCAGACCACAGTTTGGACGTATTAATATTTTATGTGAAGCTATTCATAACAATATTCTTCAAGATGACAAACTTCCACCTGAGCTACTGGGATGTCCAGTCAGATTCTATGAGAACATGCGTCAGAACTTATATCAGGAAATGTCAAAAGAGAAAGTCTCAAAGCCTTCTAGTCTTGACTCAATCTGTGAGAAAAACAAAGCCAATGTGAATTGTGAAAATAAGAAAACAGATGGAAATATTAGTGCTTTAAGTTCAACACAAAGTGATTTAGATTCAAATAAAGAAGAGTCTGTTTCAAATAAGGAAAAATCAGTGTCAAAAAATTCTGAAAACTCAAAAGATGAAAACAATCTGGTGAAAAATGAAATTAGTGTGGAAGTGATTGCAGCAATTGAACAAGACTCAAAACAACACAATGAGAATATGACTAGTGTGTAGATATGTTTTATTGAAAACTTGTGTTTGATTGGTTTGTCACTCTTTCAAGTATATTCATCTTGAACTCAGTGTTTGGAGACGATTACTGAAATTGTCCATGGGCCTAGTATGTGCTGAACAAACAGGATTTCACTTTCATATGAAGTCTAAGATATACTTTAAAATGGCGACACATTTCATTTTATGTCAATAAAAGGGATTTGTTATTAATATTAGTAAACAACAAGATGAAATATGTTTTAACCCTGTACCTATAAATATGATAGTCAAGGTAATAATAACTTTACTGTGATAAAAACATTTTTTTAAAGTGTTCATAGATTTATCTCATAATTAAAATGTATTATACTAATTGAAATGTATATTATTATATATATATTAGACAAAATAACATGATGCAGCACTATAATGGAGATGTGCCTTGCATTTATACACATTTTAAGACTGACTTATGCAATATATGTTGTCATTTGATAATAAATTTTATGGTCATGTAGCTGGAACAGGAATTATTGGCAGTAAACTTCTTTACAAGAGGAACTATTTTATTATCAACCAGTACTGGTGTTATGATGCTCAATTGTAAAATAGTCTATAGTGTTACATTTAGTCCGAAATATCTGCCTGATGGAAATTTTGACAGTTTACAGCTGGAGTAGAGTCAGGAGGAAAAGACTATGTTAAATGGGAATTTTCCACACCTCCAAAGATTCTCTAATATCATATTGAATTACCTTTAAGATTGTAAATTAGTGTTTGGCATCACCATAACTTTGGTTTTGTTAGTATCATGTGACTCCCTGACCTTTGAAATTTGGGTTGCGCATTCAGTTTTAAATGACCGATGCTAGATCAGTTTCGCCTAAAAAAAAACTTTGATGGAACCATAGACATGACATAAATAGTGTAGGGAAAAATGATGCTATGTCTGAACTACAAAAATATTCATCTTTCCTGGGTTTTGCAGATCCAAGGTATCTAAATAAGATTAAACCCCCGCACCTGCAGAGCTGTGGAATATTCTCATTTAACAGGGCCTATTTTAACTGTCTCTACACCAGCTGACATCTGTCCAAATAGCTATACAGAGACTGGAATAGAAACAGATGATTCGGTCTATGTTACATTATGTGCTTTGCTTTCAGTTTTGAACAAAAAAAAAGTTTTTTGTGGTTTGACAATGGACTGCTTGATTAGTAGGGGTTTCGTGACACCACAAATTCTAAAATAAGATCCCTTACGCATACATAGAAAGTATTTGTTCATCTTTAGAAAGCCAAAAACAAGCTGATGATGTTAGATTATAGAAGTCGCCTTCCAGAACTTAGTGTTACACCAGTGTTGAATTCTTTCAACATTATTTTTCAGAATTTTACACCATTAGACCAAGCTTTTTTACAAATTTTATTCATTAATTATATTGCTATAATATGAATTTTGTATTATATTTACAATGTTTTAGTATATCATATTTTGGAGACATTTTGTTAAGTATATTATGGGAACAAATTGTTTTTTTTTATCACTATTCTTTATATTATTCAGATCATATTTGTTATATAGTTGTCGAATTCTGTTTGAGAAATAAGTAAATTTGAAATTTGCTACTTGAAGCTTTACATGTACATTCAGTTACAAATTCATATCTTTAAGGGACCATGCTATGTGTATGTCATTATTTATTTAGATACATTTACACGAATAATATTCTATATGTTGGCTAACTAGGACAAATGTTGCATATTTCTTATTTCATCATTTATCTGGTATTATATTATTTGTCATATAGCCCATATTTTAATTCATGTTATTGACCTACTCATGACTGACTTGTTTTGAGTTGTAATGTAAAAAAAATAATTAAAATTGCCTTGTTGTATATTTGGTACACTGTCATGTTATATTATATAGCTAGATGTTTATCTACAGACATGATCCAATTCAATCTTTGAATTCAAGATTTGCTTCAATTTATTTTTAAAGATGTCCAATTATTTGTATTAATAAATAAGTATATAAATGGGTGATTTATATGCAATTTGTTTTACAAAACTTCTTTATTTCTTTATATATTATAGACAATTGTTATAAAACTCAATTATGAAATTTCTTTATATTAAGAATTGTGTATACATGTATATTAGACAATTGTATAACAAGTCATTGAAGTAGTTTCTTTATACAAGATATTTGTACATTTATAATTTTGTTATATTATTTACTGTATGTTTTGTACATTGATCATCCTGAAAGTCAATAATAATATTAGGCTTCCTATTGAACTCCACATCTCATGACAATAAAATGGTATTACCTGTATATTTGGTTATAATTTAACTGACAGATTTATTGCAATCAATTGGTTTGCCAAGTGAGATGAGGTTGATAAGTCACATCTATTCTGACCAATTTGGATTAAGTATTAATCAGGTTTGACCCATAAATTCAGACAAACCAATTAGGGCGATGAGTCTAAGGTAGAATTGCTTGGATCTTAAAAGTTTTTCATAATCCCAAACACAGGTCTAAAAATTGGGACTATCAAAACTTATATTTTTCCAAATTCTCTGAGTTATTTTCTTTACTAAGATGTATTTAATACAGGTCACTATCTTTATCAATTAAATAACTGAGTTATTTTCTTTACTGAGACGTGTTTAATACAGCTCACTATCTTTATCAATTAAATAACTGAGTTATTTTCTTTACTGAGACGTTTTAATACAGCTCACTATCTTTATCAATTAAATAACTGAGTTATTTTCTTTACTGAGACATGTTTAATACAGCTCACTATCGTTATCAATTAAATAACTGAGTTATTTTCTTTACTGAGACATGTTTAATACAGCTCACTATCTTTATCAATTAAATAACTGAGTTATTTTCTTTACTGAGACGTGTTTAATACAGCTCACTATCTTTATCAATTAAATAACTGAGTTATTTTCTTTACTGAGACGTGTTTAATACAGCTCACTATCTTTATCAATTAAATAACTGAGTTATTTTCTTTACTGAGACATGTTTAATACAGCTCACTATCTTTATCAATTAAATAACTGAGTTATTTTCTTTACTGAGAAGTGTTCAATACAGCTCATGGTCTATATCAATCAGATAGCTGAGTTGAATTCTTAAATCAACATAATAATACAGCTCACTATCTTTATCAATTAAATAACTGAGTTATTTTCTTTACTGAGACATGTTTAATACAGCTCACTATCGTTATCAATTAAATAACTGAGTTATTTTCTTTACTGAGACATGTTTAATACAGCTCACTATCTTTATCAATTAAATAACTGAGTTATTTTCTTTACTGAGACGTGTTAAATACAGCTCACTATCTTTATCAATTAAATAACTGAGTTATTTTCTTAACTGAGAAGTGTTCAATACAGCTCATGGTCTATATCAATCAGATAGCTGAGTTGAATTCTTAAATCAACATAATAATACAGCTCACTATGTTCATATGAAACTCCCATTGATAAAGACCAACATTGCTATGCAGTGCATAATTAGGGAAATTTTGTCATGATAGCTGCATAAGCTGTGGGTTTCGGTTTATTGTCCCATTTAAATGTATATTATATTGGACTACGAGTACGAATTTCCATTTTAACATTTTAACATTCATGAACATTGCTTTAACCCTGCGCCAGTGCCTTCTGTTGGATAGTAACTTGTTACCTTTAAAAATGTACAAAACACTAGCTCAATCCATGACATAATTCCGTACACATTGGCTATCAAGAAAGAGATCATATTGTTCTTTGTCGAAAAAAAAAAACAATTAAAATCCTAGGTATATAATTTATATAACAGTAATATTTTGAGCAGTTATAAGTCTAATATAGGTTAATAATGCAAGGTAAATATATATTGTATTTAACACAAAGTATTTAAATAAATATTTACGTAAATTTAGCCCTAAATCAATACTTCATAATATTCACTATAGAGAAAATAAAGTATATTTCACATAATACATGAACAATTTCCAAATTCTAATGATGAAGAATTCAATTTATTTTAATGATTAAGTGTTAATTAAAAAGCCAATTTAATTAAGATACAGCTAGAGATTTTACATTATGTGTTTTTTCTGTAAGTTACTTTACTCATGCTAGGATCTGATGGAATTGCTAACAAATGAAGACATTGATTCTCATTGTAAACCCAGATGAGCACAAAAATTCATCTTTATCAGAGTCTTTTTTTTCTCATTGTAAAAGGTCAAGTTATCAAGTATAAAGACAAAATATGGAGCATAGCAAAACCAAATTATATTTACAATTTTACCCCAAAAAAATACAACAAAATAAAAAAAGCAACAAGACCAAATCAATATAATAATAATCGAACAAAGCCCTTCAGAAGATTGTTCATCTTCTTTTCATCTTTCGCTTCAACAGCTAAAATAATTATGTTTTATTACATGGTAGACCTATTTTTAATATCATATTGTAGCTTATTAAATAGGAACCAGGTGCATATCTCAAAACATCTCTCATGGGTCTGCTTTATGGGATTTGTATTTGAAAAGTTTGTAAAACCTCAAGTTTTACTGGTTTATATATATGTTGAGACAAGAACTCATAGCTTACCAGACACATATAATGTAGACAGCAATTAATAATGATTTCAAAGAAAAACATGTTTCGTTTTTTCCATTTTTTTTTCTTTATTTAAAGTTTGTAAATATTTCTTATGAAATTAAAAATGTTTCATTATAATAAGATAACTTGCCAGGCAAGGTAACATGCCCACTAGCAGCTGGCAGAAATGACGAGTTGCACAATATAGCTAATAAAGTGAAACATCAAGTCAGACACGATATTTCGGTGAAAATTATCCGATCATCACAAAAATCGATAGGGATCATCTTCATAATGACATTGACCCACAAATTCAAAGTCAAAAGAATCTGTAAAGAATTGTAGCCATATAATAAGTATGCTTACTCTTCTAAACACCTGATACCACTTAACATTATGAAATATTTACTAAATTTTATTAGCTGCAACTACATATGTTGATTTGAATTTCGGGATTGATTTTACAGTTTGGATCATTAGTACTTGATTTGCTAAAAACATCAAAAGCCATACATATTCTATTTCTGGTCAGTCAAATTTGGCACTTTTAAATTCAACAATGTAAATAATGTACCCATCCCTTATTGTCATTTGGACTAGCAAATCTTAATCTGCCTGTTTTTAAAAAAAAATTGACGTGGGCTAAATGAATACAGAATGTAAAATAGCCTAAAGCATCCTTTAATTATCTTTCAGGTAGATATTTTCCCTCTGCTTGAACTAATTCATCATCATTCTGTAACCTAAATATCTCTTTAACTGGAACAACCTAAAAAAAAAAAAATATCAAAACATGAGTAGATTTAAACAATCAACCGTTTAACTGTTTTTTGTAAAACTGGATTATCTTTATAATGATATCAGAGTGAAACATTGATCTTATGTTTTCTTTCTATGACTAAAAGCATGTGTTTGGTAAACTTCAATTAATCATACTACCCCATTACTCAACTGGCTGTAAATGAGCCAGAATTATCAGAGATAGATCAATGTCAAAAGGGAGAAGGTCTACTACTAGAAAGGTCTTTAGTGGCGGTCACACCAAAGAAATCACCAGTTGCATATAAGAAAAACTAAATAGTTAAAAATCATATTAATCATAAACTTACCTTCTTTTCATTTTCTATACCTAACAGACTCTGTTCTTTATAAATCTGAGCACTAACATCTTGCATAGCCTTCACTGAGCTTCTTATATTATGGTTAGCCCATATCACCATGGAAACACCCCAATCTTTAAAACTTTGTGTAGGTGTTTTATAATATTTGGTGGGCACTATGACTACTGGTGTCTGTAAAAAGATATGAAGTATGTACATTATAAATCTGCATGTAAATGTAACTCAAAATCTTTCTTGTAAATCAACAAAAATATTGTTAAGAAATGAGTCCTATATCTTATTAATACAATAGTTTTTATCATAAAATTCTTATGTTAATAGGGTTTGAAAGCTGACACCTGTTTGACTTTTGGAAGCAATGTTCATCAAAATTTTTCTTCATGAGAAGAATTCAAAATCCTGTGGAACCAAATCTCTAAGTAGATGACAATATCACTGACTGCCACCAAAAGACATTTACGGAATCCAGGTGTGTACAGCTGAGGACATTTTTCAGCATTTCAGTATTTTGGCATTGAAGATTACTGATCATAACAGTATTGTCAAGTAATTACTATACATTTAAATCCATTTCTAAAATTATCAGACTTACAGGATTTTTCCAGGCTTTCATAAAGGATTCTATTTCTGATGGATCACTTTTTCTACTATGCATCAATATAGCATCAGCACCTACAAATATATCACATCACATATATCATATCACAGATACAATAATCATCTTTTAATCTAGTAAAATATCTCCACTACCACAGATGTCAAATGGGAAATTGGTTGAAGCAAATGGAATCCATTAGTGATAGACATAAAAAAGCTTGCAAACCTGTTTTCAATTCCTTCAGTACCATAGGATATTTGTGGGAGTTTCCCATTGATATATGATTTATCTTAAAATTGCTATCATTGAACTGTATATGATGGAAGATAGAACTTATGCAGTAAAGCACTTCATTTGGTTTATGCTAAGAGAACAGTTAGCTAATATGCAGATCTACCTAGCCAAAGATCAAAACTATAGGACTAAGTTCATCTAACCTAAGATATTTTTTTAGCAACAGATACCAGCCACTGAAATTGTATAATTGTGGGTTTGGACTCACCTGCATTTGCATATGCCTCAGCCCTTTTCAATGCCTCTTCTAATTCCCAACCAGCTATGAAAGCTTCAACTCTAGCTACTATACAGAAATTGGGATCTCGTAAATAATCTTTACTAGCCTGAAATAACAAATAATTCAATTAACTCTAAAATCTATTTTTTTGATACAATAAACAAGTTTAATACTCTAAAAATTTACAGAAAGAATAAAACATCATACTAGGTTTCAATCATATTGAGAACAAATTTAGGCCTCCAGGATACATTCTACCACCTGGGTTATCAACAAGCAAGCTTTTTCCTGATACTTTTCTGGACTATTTGCACCCTCCACTAAGGTTGGTGAATAATAGAGGGGGGAGGGAGGCATAAAAAACATAAATATTTATCAACTTACTTTAATCTTTAAAGCAAACTCCTCCATATCTGCTAATGGTTGATGTCTGTCATCATGAAGACTATTTGTTTTAGGAAATAATTTGTCCTCAAAACATGCACCTAGTTTAAAAATATTATAATGATATATCTCAGTTCTAACCAAAACTCTGGAAATGAATATTTCTAAAACTATATTTAATATTCAAGGCCTGTGTAGCAGGAATTTCCGAAAAGACACTCAAGCACATCACGTCTACAAAGTTAAGGGTGGAAATCTAATCCCAGCCAAAGCCTTGAGGATCACAAATGAACTACATAAAATATTTTAACCCTTTGAACACACTTGGAAATAATTTGATAATTGCAACATCAGTGCAATTACTGAGTAACTAAGGGTAGAGGCTGAATTTTCATGGTGTCTTTTGGCCAAATGCTAATTACTAAGTAACTTTTGGTGGAATCCTCTAACTAGTTTTTTTTATCATAAACTCAATATTTTATAAAGAATAAACCCCTGCCTCCTATCTTCACCAAGTTCTGCCAACATGAAACATTCTATGATACGGCAAAAGTTTTTTCAAAAATCTATAATTCGAAATACCTGCTACTCCTCTTTCTTCCAATTTTCTGACCAATCTTCTAGCATTGTTAAAATTACCAAAACCAGTATCAGCATCAACTAATATAGGGATTTCAGTATCTTCACTCATAAACTCCAATATATCAACAACTTGTGTCCATGATGCTTCATTACTATCTCGTACACCTAACTGAGCAGACATAGCTAGTCCACTAGCCCATATTCCCTTAAAACCTGAAAAAATATAATGCAGAGATCAAAACTTATAGGACCTCTTGCTGAAAGTATGAATTTACTCTAATCTGAAAAAGAGTGAAAGAGAGATGTCAAATTACATTTATTATTAGTGCACTCTTTAAAAGGGATGTTCAGTTTGAAAGGTTGACATTTTGCCTTCCTAACAGCATCCACAATAACTTATCATAATAGTTGAGCCTTCATTTAACTAAATTTTCAAAACTTTTGTCATATAATAAAGAGAAAATCCTCCAAATAAGAAACCAAAAGTATATTCTTGATATTCCTTCCATTTCGAATTGAACAAGCTAAAAAAGTTTGTTTCGAAAGACAACATTCAAAAAATCACAAGAAAGTCCTTGATAAGTCTATTTACCTGCTTCTTCTACTATTTTAGCACTAAGACCATTGTGTGCTTCCATAATATATTCTAGATCTTTTGACTTTAGCATGCTCTTTAATTCTGCAGACTTCTGCAATGAGGATGATTAATTTGTTAATTTCAATACTGATTTTTAAACCCATGGGAATGAGGCATTACAATAAAAATGGATACTTTACAGAATGTCAGAATGCAGCCTTTGTTCATCACACATGACAGCACAGTATTTTTTTTCTCAAAAAATTTAATGAAGTAAGACTATTTTCAGAAGAAAAATTGGATATACAAGGCATTTTTAATAATGTTCTAACAAGGTGAAAAAATCAATTATTCAACATGCAGCTGTTTAATTTATTGATTCAAAATACGTGAATTAACTTTGAATTTATACCAGCTTGGTAATTATATAAGTTGACCTATGCGAAGGTCAAATATTCCTAATCCTTGGCTGTTTTATATATAAAATACCTTGACAAAATAAAACATATGGTACACAGGGATTAATCCTAGAGGTGATTTCAGCTCTCCCAACATCACAAGTCTTACATCAATAAAGTGATTTTAGTCCTGGAAAAATCAAACCAGACTAAACTTTCAAGATTTAGTAATATGAAATTTTGTACCTTGGCACCATGGGCTATATAAAATCGACATTGTTTCTTCCAGTTACTGTTGTCTACAACAGAAATAAATCATTTACACATTAAACATACAAGCAAAACCTTGTATTACTTTATTTACTTTGCATAGCGATGCCAAATATCAAATCACAAACATGATCTTATAAGGTAAATGGTTTAAAGAAACTGTGTGGGTCCATGGACAGGATACTTCAACCAAAATGAGTCCCAAATTTCGTCTGACAATTGTCTTCTGTACACAATTTTTTTATTTACCTGTGTGCTCATGTTTTTATTTTTATCAAAGCAAAAGCATTCTAAGACTAACAGTTCTGTTTTGAGGCTGTTATTTCAATTATCATAAAATGATTGAAAAAATTAAAAAAAAATTGATTTTGCTCAGACAATAGCAGATGTTAAAATAGATTAAATTGGAGCTTCCACAGCCATTCAAAACAAAAAAATGTTAAAGTGTTAATTGTTTCCCTTAAAAAACCTATGCATGCACCTTATTCAATACACACAAGTTTCAAGTTTATTGTCTGAAATATAGAATTTTTGCAAGTGGGCAAAGGACATTCATGAGTAACTTAATAATTGTGCAATCCATATTTTTTAATGACATATAGCTGTTTTATCATTGAAATTTCATTCAAAATGTGTGTTTACTTAATGATAAAAGGGGTTCAACTATTATCATTAAATATACAATAAAACCTCTAACCAAACATTAAATAGGACCTAATCTTTTAAAGTGGGGTGCTCTGTCTTATTCTAACCATAAGATTGATTTAAAGGGAGAATATCTAAAATCAATGAATTAATTGGATTGATCAAAGCTTTACCAGTAGGTATCTTGAATTTCATCTAGAAGAAGCTTAACTTTATTGTCACCATTGTACTATTTTTTAGGTCATTTATTGTTCAGATTTCATGCAATTATGATTTTGAAATGACAGTATAAATATAAATGTGAATATATAATTTGCATACAAGTAGTAGGGATACTTGACAGCCATTGACCTACTCATAGTAACATTATGCAACTGTCGGTTTTTTTTTTCACTTCCTCATTATTTCTCTTTTTACTCAGCTGTAGCAGACGATTATTATCAGCCAATCACGATACGCAACGTTCCAGGATTCCGTCAATGGAATATGTTGAGACAATAATGGCGGCTTCTGTCTGTGAGACTTAAAAAAATGACAATGACATTACCTACATATTGGTGTCAAATCACACAATGCTTTACTCTAAATGCATATAACTATATAATCAAAATTACCTGCAATAGATCTTAAAATATTCGTTGTCCTCGATGCTAAATTCCTTGCCATTTTTCAAAGTACACGTGCTTCGATATACCACAGTAGATATTGAGTTATAAAGCCGGTATACTCTACACGTATTTGATAAACCGCGGTGAATATTTGTCAAATAAACTCATACACGAGCGACGTGATATATTCAGTTGAGATAATATAATGTCGAGTCGCACCTATTAACTTAGCCCCAGCTTGTCAAACACAAAGCAAAATATTGACCAACCGTTGCTAGTACATTGGTTCCTTTATTATCATACTCAAGCATGGCGTAATATGGCGGGTAATTTGAAAGGTTGTTTTACTGACATATAAAACGTTTTAAAAAACGTCTAAATATTTACTTTCAATTTCAGCTATTTTGACTTAAAGGGATTCCATAGAGGTTCCTTTAAGAATCGAGAAATGTGTTTGGCCACAGGGTTCGTCGACAGACTGTCCAAGCTGCTTAGAAACAAATTTATTTACAACAACTCTTCCTTTACAATAATAACCGGTATAAAGATACAATTGGACATTCAACACCCTAATCTGAACATTGTTCACCATCTATTTCACTTTTCACTGTCTTCCTCACTACAGTCTGTTCATATTAAATAACGGTTCAATTCTGATCGAGTCGAAATTCAAATAAACCAATCCTAAGTTTAGTTTCTGAAACCAGAATTAGCAGAATCAGTTTTTATGAGAATCAAACAGGCTTTCTGAACACCAATATCTACTTATCTACCAAATCTTCGGTAGTACAGGTGAACTATAACTGACCACTTTTCACCCATTGTATCGTTTCTACAAATTCAAATCTTTATCTTCAACTGTATAAGGAGGAGTTCACACCGCCATTAAGGATCACAGCAAGGATTTGAAAGTTTGGGGTAGGTTATTATGCTTATATTTTATAAATTTGATATCAAACCATTATATTTAAATTCTTGAAAATGTTTTTTTAGTTCATTAGAGCAGTATATGTATGTGAGACTAAATAACGCTGATATGGAAAGATACCTTTACCTTTGTGAAAACTTCTGCGGTCAACGAGAATATTAGATCACTCAAACGGACATGGCTCTTTAAGGTGACACTGGTATTGATCAACCACTACAAAACCACATTTTCACGAGATGTCATTATTACATCCTGCCATGGACAGTATCATTTCTAATGCCCTGTCTTGGGCCTGTCGCCTATATAGAAAATGTTAATCACAGACGGTCATTACTGAATTTTACCAGACCATCAACGAAATAGATATTGGTCAACAGACGCCAGTTCCAAGTTGAGTCACTACTCTATCTTAACAAACCTCAAAACAAGCTTCCAGTTCACCAAGTCTAGGTTCAACAGGCGCCTACTCATTCTTCTCCATTTGATCCAGCATCCGCCATCCTCTCTTCCTTTTGCACATATTTACACTATCAAGTCAAGCCGTATATCTCTATTCAGACTATCAAGTCAAGCCGTATATCTCTATCCAGACCAAAGGACCCAGCCAGATCACAGTCCGTACCCAGTACTGCCTTTTCAACAACTCATAAAAAAGAACCAATCATCACTCGACAACCATTCCATCAGCTACCAAACCCTTCTGTCACCAAATCAAGGACAAATCTACCTGAAATCTCACTGTTCTACAGAAATACACCTCAATGATGGGATTGTCGAACCTCAATCGAATTACTCAGACTTCTTCAGATACTGAGAGTCACTCTTATCCAGGTTTGTTAAGAAGATGATAAACATCCAGAAGCATTTCACATATAAATCACTTAATTTCATGTAGTACAGTTGAGTCACTTAAGGATTTTTTTCACAATATCAGCATTTTGATTTGATATTCAAAATGCCCTATTTTTTCATAGGGCATTCAATATTTGTCTGTAAGTTACCTATATCAATGCAAGTTTCAATTTGAGTGATATTGCATCGTAGTTTGCGAGTCAATATGACCCCTTTTTCATCCAATATCTTTCCTGGTTAGCCAAAATTCAATTTTTTCACTACGATCTTCTAATCAAATCAAATTGAATGTTTTTGTCGTTAGAAATTTCTGCTGTTATACGCCAACTGACGACTGAAGATATTAGTTAGCTTGAATTTTAAATGAGGTTTTAAGTTATTGAGCTGAATATATCTAAGATTCATACTATTATAACTAATTAGGTTTTGATGTTATGACATTTAAAAGGAATTGTACCTTATTTTATTTAAAAAAAATTGTAAATCAGTGATGGTAAAACTTATAAAGCAAATTTATAAATGTAACCAAAACTTTACTTTTTACTCAGTAAAGGGAAGAAAGTAGATTCTGGTTGAGATTAACCTAGGCAGGTGTGTAGATTAGGTCTTAGTCTATGATATCTAGGACAGTCTGTAAGGATCATAAAATAACAGAAATAAAGCCCAAAAGAGGCATAGGAGCTAAGTTCCGGGTCTTGGTATCTAGAGATGGTCAATCAGACCTCCTGGCCTTGACCATTCAAGTACGCTTTTCTGAATAATTACATGTAATTGCTTCCACTATACCTATAGGACGTGGTCCTGAAAGCTGTGCACCTCCCTTAATGTTATCCTGCCTTGGACGCAGTCCTGAAAGTTGAGCTACTTCAAATTCCAGTTGACCGCATCTCTAATCCCACTGTATTCGTGTCTGAAAGTTGTTTCAAGAGGTTATCTAATTTCTGAAATGAAATAGACAGGACTGTCAGATTGGTTTATATCTTGAATGTCTTCCCTTCATTTTGGTTGCACATGAAAAAATCAATATCTATTTTAGCAATTTAACGATGAAAGCTGTAACTGTATAATATTAGGTTTTGTAAAATACTTTAGAGAAATATTAAGTTAAGTCACTACACTTGACCATCAGGTTCTTAAAAGCATGTTTAATTCAGCTTCAGTAACAGAAAACCTTTTTTTTAGTATCGAAATTAATTCCTTTGCTACAAGATAAACTTAATATATTGAAATTCAAGATTTATCTTTATCATTGTTGTATGAAGGAACATCTTAGGACTGATTCTGGTCTGTCAAAGTTTCTTCTAGTGTAAAGTTACTCTAAACTCTCTTCCGTCTTTCTAATTTTTTACTTCATTCATTCATTGATACATAGATAAATCTAGACTGTATTTTTGCAAACCGTTTTGTGAATTAGAAATGAAGATAAGTCATCACAAAGTCTTTGTAAAAAAATCAAAGATTAAAACGATTTATTTTGAGTATGGTTATAATGGTCTCCTATTTTAGATAATAATAGTGTTAAGAGTGAAGAAGTTCCTAAAAACTTCTATGTAAAGCACTGGCCAAGGTCACAAATAAAGAGATAAATGTTCAATACAAGATGAAGAAGGTGAAGCATAGTTAGTATTAAGTTCAAAAAACACCCACGAGTAATCTACAATAAACAAAAGTCTATTTGGATTCAATGGGATCGAGTCTACCACGGACCAGAAAATTACTAAGGTTTTTATTGCAGTGGAATGTAGTAACATTCTCAATCAAATACTCCAACCAGTAGCATTAAATATTCATCAAGTCTATCTTATCTTGTATTCTTCATTTAAACAAAAGCATTGACACTGTAGTACATGAAATTAAGTATATTAAATACAAGATGCTTCTGAATCAGGAAGCTTTTCTCTGTGGATAAATGGATAAGAATGAGTCGCAGTATCTGAAGAAGTCTGGGTAATTCGATTGAGGTTCGACAATCCCATCATTGAGATGCATTTCTGTAGAGCAGTAAGATTCCAGTTAGATTTGTACTTGATTTGGTGATATAAGGGTTTGGTAGTTGATGGAATGGTTGTCGAATCGATGATTAGTTCTCTTTTGGGAGTTGTTGAAAAGTCAGCACTGGGTTTGGGAGTGTATGGGAATTTTGTCGAGGGAGCAGTTGGCACTGGTTTGGGAGTCGTTAAAAAGGGGGCATCGGACACGAACTGTGAACTTGTTTGAGGAGGAGTTGATCTAATTGAGATTTATCGTTTGACTTGATTGATGAAGGCGTGTATGCATGCTGGTCCAAATATGCACAAAAGGGAAAGATGTTCGACGAAGCTGTATCAAGTGGAGAAGAATGAGAAGGCCTGGATTGGGAATCTGAAAGTTAAATCACTAAGACGGGTTCCCTCTCTCCACGAAAGTTTACCTGCGCCTGCTATACTTGGACTTGGTGAACGAGTTTGTGTCCAGGTTTGTTTTAATAGAGTGGTGACTTTTCCAAGGCATCTGGCATCTGTTGAACAATATAAATTTCTCCAGTTGGTATGAATATGGTAACTCTAGTCTTGGTTTATTATATGGCCTGGTAGAATTTTGTAACGGCAGTCTGGGTTTGACATTTTGCATATCAGCAACGGGCCTACCTTTTAACAAAGTTGGCAAATGTTACCTTGTCTGCCATACTTTTCACTTCCTTTTTTTTGTCTCTTGTATGATATAACTTGCATTTAAGCTATATAGTCGTCTAGATTGTGTATATATATATATATATATATTGGAAACGTGTTATTGGTGTCTGTATATTACGTTGCAAACGAAATGGAGCAGTATGTCTATTTAAAATAGCACTAATTTCATGCTGGAAGTAGGTGTTTACCTTCTAAAGCTCACTAAATGAATCGAAATGTTGCTCAGCTCCAATGTTTCTGTACACGAGTGAGCTAAAGAAGACGGATACTTAGCGCAGAGTAGGCGGAAGTATAAATAATCAAAATAGACCATGAATATTTGAACGTCTATTAAAATCGTATTTTTAACTGAAAACACGTAAAGTATTACTATCTATAACTATCTCGCTAGACCAGCTGTTCATAGAATAATTTATAATATTTTCAATCGGTTTTCATCAACTCTGTAACTTGTTAGCAGTTTGCAATCGAAGAAATACGATTGGTTTATTTGACTATGTTCAACCAATAAAAGCAAACAATTCAGATTCCGTGCTTTGAAAGTATATTGCTTTAGAGAGCATCGACATCCTGTATATCTATCTTTCGATACGCTTCTGATTTATAATAAAATGTCAACTAGTTTGAATTATTGCTCAATGTGAGGTTCTTGTAGAAATAACCTCTCGAGTGGAAGGACGTAAATAAGGCACAAATAATTGTTTGAATTTTGAAAATTGTAACCTCAGTTTGACTAGAGGTTGAGAAGTGTCCCAATAGTGATTACAATTTATGTTTTTTGAATGATGGTAAGTGTAAAGACGATTTATTCACATTTTTTTCTTAAATATTTGCTAATATTAAAATCTTATTCTACTCCTTTTGATTCAACTATACTGTTAATTGGAATTTCATCAACTACCTGTAAATTACATTAAACTACATTAGCTCGTCCAAGATCACACCTACCCGCATACTTCTATCACGATTCATTCAAATAGGAAGAAAACAAATCTACGGTGGCGGCACCATCCTCCCGAGACTTGGGGTACATAGGAGGCAGACTGATTTAGTGCAATATGACATTATTTTTTATATTTTTGTCTCAAAATTAGCCCACAAGGTGCAGAAAAGTAGGACGTAAAACTCCATTCATTTCATTTCTATAGCATTTGCACCAACAGAAGTAGTCCGAAACATCTGTCACTATTCCAGCCTCTGATGGATATTTTGACAGTAAGTTGCCAGTAGGGTCAGAAGAAAAAGACCCTGTTAAATGAGGATTTTCCACACCTCCAAAGATGCATTTCTCTAACATAACCTTTACGCAGTTTTAAATGGCCGATGCTAGATCAGTTTCGCAAAAAAAAACATTGGTGGAACCGGAGACATGTCATAAATGGTGTAGGGAGAAAATGTTGGTATGACTGAACTACAAAAATATATTCATCTTTCCTGGGTTTTGCAGATCCAAGGTATCTAAGTAAGATTAAACCCCCGCACCTGCAGAGATGCGGAATGTTCCCATTTAACAGGGTTATTATTTCTGTCTTTACACCAGCTGACATCTGTCCAAATAGCTATACAGAGGCTGGAATAGAGACAGATGTTTCAGTCTACAACAGAAGATGGATAATCTGTAATTTTGAGTAATATACAATAATATATTGTGTTTCTATTGATTTTATCAAGCGCCAAGTGTTTCAGATGACGTTGACGAAAGAGAAGATAAAAATCGTGTATATGAGGAGTGTAGAGAAAGGGTTTGGGAGAGTGATTAGCAGAGAAATAACTGAGTTGTAAAGATAAAGATTCGGCATAGCACTGTCGTTAAACTCTCCCTTTTTCAGGTGTTAAATGGTGTTGAAAACTTCAGAAGGTGGCGTTTACTTATCTTCACCTTGCTGTTCTCTCTATCATCCTCGAAAAACCATGGTGCACCAATGGGTCCACATAAACACTGTGATGATGGAGAGGTAGGCTTAATCTTTTTTCGCTTCGTTTTGTTTTTGGGTTACTTCATTCATTGTGACACATAGCAAGATGCTTTTAATTCAAAATATTTCACTTTTAATTTTGAATTAAAAACATGTGAAAATTGATTACCATCTAGGTGAAAATTTCTTTTGAATTAAAAACTTTAATTTTCACCTAGGTGAAATAATTTCCACCAAGGTGATAATTCAACGAATCTTGTAAAAAAAGGTTTTTAAGTCAAAATTCTTCAATAATCACAATGATTTCCACCTATGTGAAAATAATTTCCACCTAGTTGATAATTCAACGAATCTTGTAAAAAAGGGTTTTTAATTCAAAATTCTTCAATTATCACTAATTAAAGTTTTTAATTCACCTTGGTGAATATTAAAGTTTTTAATTAAAAATTACACCAATTATCGCCTAATTTTCACCTAGGTGAAAATAAAAGTTTTTAATTCAGAATCAATTTTCACCAAGTAAAAAAAAAGTTTTTAATTCTAAATAAAAAGTGGAATATGTCGTATATGAGCCACCGTACAATTCCGGTAAGCAAACTCTCGTCCAAAGTATGAAATCTTGGCCTCCTCAACGCCTATAAACGGCGATGCAAATCAAATATGTCTTATGCCAATCCCGAGTAAAATTTATATTCCAGTCAGATATCTCAATAGACTGGGACCCCGAATCAACTACGGAATACACCTGTACTGGGGATCGTGTTGAACCCGATGTAAGTGAATATTAGGGCCGTATGCTGCGGTCGAACTTTAGTCATACTTTACTCAAAGTCGAGCTTAAGTCAGACTTTAGGTATGCTGCGCTCGATCTTTGATGTAAGTCATGCTTTACTCGAGCGTTTTGTGGACAAAACTAAAGTAAAATCTAAGATAGGGTGGTAGCAGACTTTAGCCGTACTTTATATACGTTTGCGATTGAAATTGTGACAATAGAAAATTATTTCAACCAATTACACCAAATTATAGATATTTACCATGTGGAGAGGAGATTTAAAGACCGCTCAAATCCAATGGAAGATCTAGACGAGAATGAATTTACGAAACGCTTCAGGTTTCCAAAGGATGGCGTTCTGCATATTTTTGAAATGATTTCAATCATCGATGTGACCTAACTGTACATATCCCACCATTACTACAGTTATTGGTATGTCTTCGTTGGTATGCTAGTGGCTCTTTCCAAATAAACGTGGGGGACATAATGGGCGTTCATCAATCCAGTGTCTCCCGAATTGTATCAAGGGCTATAGCTATTCATAGGCCTGAGGTAATTACGTTTCCAGATGAAAATGAAATAAAAACAATACAACGAGGTTTTAACGACATTACGCAGTTTTCGGGGATAATTGGAACAATTGGCTGTACACATGGAACCCGTGATGATTTCTGTGTTGGAACTGTATTTGTATCTGGACATAATGTTTCACTGGTAACAGTGGCTGATGCTGATGTGGATCGCGTAAATACGGGAGAACCTGTGTTGAATATAAAAATGAAAATTAAATTAGCTACGTAAAATATAATCATATATTTATGAAAAATTCAATACTAATGCAAAAGGGGTTGTTTAAAGTAAGGTGCTACGTACCAGTTCGAATCATTCATATGCAACTCATTTCGAAACGTGGAATCAGTCTCGTAATTTATCTTCTTTCGAAATTTCCATAGCACTTGTCAAAATCGAAGTGACATATTAATATCTACTTTTTTATTGAAATTGGATTTGCGAATTTAAGAAGTTCAAATTATGTATATTCAGAGGACTGTATCCCTTTAACTAACCTGACGTAAGTTGAGCCAAAGTGAAGCTATGTTGCTTGTGATCTCGTTTAAAGAAAGTGGGCATGGAACAAAAAATTCGCCTCTATTTCTCTCCACGCCTTTTCCTTCCTTTGTATGGACCGAATATCATTTTGTTTCGACTCCAATACACCCTTTAACTCATCCACTACATCGATAAGGAATTTCTGTTCAATTACAGTAAGTTGGGGTGTCTTCTTCTTGGTATTTCTGAGGCGACGACATATTATCTGACATCTTGAATAATCAATCAAATTATGACTTGTAATGACCCTGATGCGTATTTATAGTAAAGACCCCATGTGAAAGCACATGAGAAACATGCCAAATTCTTGCGGTCCGTAAGTGTCCGATCAAAATTTTAGTTAAAATATGTATCAATCACTTTTTCTTTTAACAAATATATTAGAAATTAAATTATAATTCTTTGAGTTATCGTTGGTGTTCCGTACATACACAGAAGAAGTTAAACTTTAAGTTTAAGTTGAAGCCATGCATACCGAAATGAATTAGTTACAAAGTCGAGCTCAGGCGAAACTTTACAAAGTCTGACTTTACCCGAAGTCTGACTTAGCGTTAAGTTCGAGCGCAGCATACGGCCCTAACTTTATACAAATTGGTGAGATACTGTTCAGGATATTGTTACTATATCGACATATAGTACATCTTCATTATGTCAAGGTTTTACGAACTCCGTCTAATTCCTTGACATCATTAGCTACTTGTCTGTTAGCACGCTCGTTTCTACATTTATTGTACGCTAGCGAATACAGAATATTTGAGCCCACAACATTCCAATCTGATTGTTGCATTCGTGAAAAAAACAGAAAGTGGGCCTTTGCAAACAAGGTTTAAGATGAAGACGCAATACCACATCAGATAATCTTTTTCTCTCGGCAGAATTTAATCTGAAAGATGTATTGCTGTTAAACTTTTTACTGTCGATTTGTCTCAATTTTGAAAGTTTTCATTTTTAATATTTCTAGCTGAATTATGTACCCTCTGAAGAATGTGATAAAGATCCTGAAGCGGTATGTTGGATATCCAAGGGGTGTATCTAGGAAATATAAAAATGTCATTGGGGGGGTGTCGCAAAAAATGAGAGGCGTGTTTCCAAGGCGAAGGCAGAAGCCCTTGGGGTTGCCTTAAGCCCCCTGTTGCCAAAGGATGGCCTGGGATGAATTTTGTGCATCTATAGGGCTTAATTTTCACTTCAAAATAAGGCAGGCATGTATTCAAATCCAACCACTCAAAATGGCAAACCAACGCCTTTGACCCCACCTCCCACTTCTTAAGTTACTCTACACCATCAGGACTAAACTTTGAAAGAATGGCATGTGATTAGAACATATTACTATTACTATAATACGAGTAAAACTGATATATTTCAGGCGTTCCACGAATGTTATCCACGTAGAATAACTTATAATGGTATACCAACCAGGTAAAACGATGTACTTTAATCCGCTTTTAAATTGCATATTCGAACGAAAATTGTCGAGAATTGCCGAATGAGTAGGTCCATCACCTCTATCGCATTTCCGATATAAGTTTTGAATGATTTTTTGTTTGTTTTTGAAGAATGGAAGTACTGTTCGCTTCTTCAAAAATGTTTTCCGGTTTTTTTTGAATATTTTCAGCGGCATGCATCGTCCCGTGTGGGCTGCATATGGTGAATACAAATACTGCCCTCCTCAACGTTGGTTGCATAACTTAGAGGTAATGTTCAATAAAGTTGTGTATAAGTTAAAGCTCGCTTAGGCCAATTTGCTTTCAAAATGAAGTATTTAAAGGGATTGTAAAGAGGTTTTCTAAACTTTTTATGTGTACCGGGGACGCTGATAGTACCAATTTGCATCTTTCCTTTTTCATTCCGAAGTCTGTGGTTCTTGCAATTCCACTAAATCTGACACGTTTTATGAGGTCACTAGAGGGGAACTGCATAGATATCAATAGCTTCAAGAGAGATCTAATTCGTATTAATAACGGTATCTAACCTGTAAACTGTTTATTTGTCCTACTTTCCTACTATTTTCATTTCGATGACCGTCTTTTTTTACTGTTCAGTTTGCAATGAGGTAAATCCTATATCATATAGGATCATAGTACTCTCAAGTGGGACCACAGCACCAGGCAATTAAGTAATCGGTGACAAATAAATATGGGGGAGGGGTAGATTTCAGGGGTTGTTAGTATTATTATGGGGTGGTTTAAATGATTTATAGTGGTTAACAGTATTTATTGACGTTGTGATTATTACAGCATTCGGCTATTGTGATGCTATACCATCCTTGTGTCAACGAAACTGAAGCAAATCCATTGAAAAAGTTACTGAGTCGATGTGTCAGGCGTCATTTAATAACTCCATCCAAACTTCTGAACATATCAAGGGTACGTATGTTTTCGAGATAATGAAAAAGGTCTTTCGATTTCCGAAATATATCCAACTTTGGAGTAACTCACTGACCATTCCATTTGATCACTCTATGTCTGTTTTATCCTTTTCAAATCTAGTTGAACCACTGCGAACAATGGTAATCTGAAAATATTATGTTGCTGGAAAGATTTATTTTATCTTAATTTTCAGCCATTTGCCTTGTTGACTTGGGGATGTAAACTGATCATGTCGACTGTAAATTTGACACTTGCTGAAAAATACATTAGGGTATGTTAATAAGAACTCCATATAATCATACTCCAAATATTTCTTACAACTACTGATTCAGCACGGACTCTTGTTCCTTAGAATCACATTTTTAAGACGAAAGCTTGTGTCTCATCAAATAGACTGAAAATGGTTATTTTACACCATTCCAATTTATGTAGTAGTTTCAAACCGGAAGTAAAGATGTGTTTTATATAACAGATTAATTCTCTTCATGCATGAAGATTCTCACATCAACGTGAATCTGACAGACGAGTCTGCAATTAAAGGTGGGACATTAATCAACACATGCTCAATCATTTAAGAAAGGTGTAAGTATATATCTGTTCCATTTTTTTGATCCATATTATTCTTACTATAGCCCGTTTTATCCCCGAACATTTTGTCTGCTGCAATTATAAGACCCCATATTTGAAATACTTTATAATTTGGCCAAATCTTTCCAGGATCATGCTCGGGATGGACCAGAACTTAAAACATATAGTAGTGGCCGATACAATGTAGGATTGATAAATTCAGCCAGCACACCGAGAGGTTCCGACTATCACGATTCCCTCATATGTCCCAAGGCAGGAAAGGAATACCAAGAATATAAAGAAAAGGAAAAGAAAACTGTGAGGAATAGACGAGCAATTCAGAAACGATTGGACGAAACAGCCTTCATGGCAGAGGCTTTGTTAGAAGAAGCTGAAAATAAAGCCTACCTAGTTACAAGATGAACCTGAATTTGTAAAATAAAATATTGAGGGCGACCAAACAATTTACGTCTTTTTATACGCTGCTTTATATTAGCATAGATAATAAAAGATATTCGCTGGAGAAGAATTTTATGACCTAGAACCGCTAAAGTCGCCATGTCTCATCTCTGGTTATAAGTTACATAGTGAAGAGGTCAGTGGTCATCTCCATAATGTCGGGCTTTTACGAACTAAATCTTATACCTTGACATGGGTGGGGTGTGCTATAGCAAGGGTTAGATGTTGAAAACATGTAAATATAGCCTTTAAAGGATTGTCGGTTTGTCCTCCGCACTATCATTCTTATTTCATTGAGAAAATTGTATGATTGGCTTGGCTGTCAGCTCCATAGATATCATAATAAAATATATTATAGGATATCTATAGTCAGCTCAAGCTACATGGGAAATAATCCATATGGTTTTAAAGTTAAAGACCACAAAAGATATGTGAAAATAAATGCAAATGGGTTCATATCAACAAGGCTTATTTCATTGTTAAATTAATTTCAATTGGAATATCTGAAAAGTAGCAGACGATCTTGAATTGAAAGTGATACAGACGCTTATCAGCAGCAACCGAATGAGGTCTATTTAGAAGACTGTAGGCCTACCCATTAATGAATACCATGAATTACAAGTGCAAAGCGCCACGATTTTTTTTTCATACACAAAGTAAACTTTGTCAAAATTAACTCAAAATGAACATTCTCGGCATATTTGATCGTGCCGTCACCAATGTTTCATTAATACTAAAGATTAGTTCAACAATCTTATTAAATAATGTTCACGCCCTATTTCTTAACATTACATGTTCAAATTGTTCAAGCTTTAATTGCCTGGGGGACCATTACAACTATACGTGTGGTTTGGGGAGCACAAGTCAGATTTTGTGATTCATGGAATTTCGTCTTGTACCTTGACTGCAATATTCACCATACTTTTAATTGAAAGCTTTTAAATGCAGCGATTTGATTGGACTGTACGCCAGCGAATACAGCCAATCAGAGCCTTCAACAGAAAGACTGAAAGCATTATGACTAATAGTTTACAGATTTGCTGTAGAGAGCTCTGATTGGCTGTTTTCGCTTGCGTGCAATCCAATCAGATCGCTGCATCAACAATCTTCCAATATAAAAGTATAAAAATGTCTATTGCTGTTACCGCATAAGGCGAAGTTCAAAATATCTTGGCATTGTGAAGATGAGTAAGATTCATTCATTTTAAAGAAGATTAGTAAATATAGTCTGTAATGTATATAGAAAATACGAAATTCCTATACTTATTCAATTATTCAATTATCCAGTTACGCAGGCTTCGTGTGAAAAGAAAGGGTTTTTTTCATTGTTGTTAGTGAAGCCCGTATCCACCGCAATAGTAGGCCAAGTTGGAATTTATTATTCACCAACTAATTGATCAATTATCTTGATGAAATATCATAATTCATACATAATGTTACGTGATATTGCCATGTTATAGTGATTCAAATAACAGTAAATGTATTAAAGGGAGATAAACACCATTCCATTCAGAAAATAGGGCGATCACGTGATCAAACAATCCCAGCGAGTAGTATACAGTCGTCACCACCCTAGAAATATAAATATAATTTTAACTCAAAAAGAATACTACCTATTTAGTGTTTTGTCAACACAAAATTTTGAGGTCGAAATATTTCTTTAAGAAAGATAATTTGATATATAAAAAATGATATTAGAAAAACCACCTATTCGCCATTACCAGTGTATTGGGTCATTGGTAGAAAGCTTGTTGGACAGAGCTTCTGTTAACGATTCACGGAAACTATAAGCTGGTAACGAGTATGTCGAATAGTGGAAATGATAAGTTATGAATAGACAGTCGGTCTGAGTGAAGCAAGGAAGCATGTCGCTGTCAGGCGTAAGATAGAAGTGTTTTTGTATAACCATGGCCGTCAAGGATTAAATGGCCATTTAAAGATTGATTATGGATTAGAAAACATATTTATGGTTTATGAAATGGAAGTTTCGCTAGCATTATGTTGCTGTTTTCTGTTGGTCTTTTATTGAACAGACATATTGTGGCACAAAGTTACACTGTGTTTCTAAATATAGCTCACTTCCAGTATATGGAGCTTCTATATATATTCCAAAACTGGTATTTGAATTCATATCAATTATCTGATTTGTGATACTCTTTTCGTTACAAATTGCTGGGATATTTTTGTATGTGATGTTGGCATTTAAATTTAAAAATTTTGATGTCCTAATTTGACAGTGGTGCTGAAATGTCAACTGTCACTCAGAATATGGAACCAGAAAATGGCCAGCGCTCAGGATCTGACACACTTCTTGTGCTTCAACCGAAATCTTTTCGTTCCTTCAATAATAAGGATGAATATTTATATGCTATGAAAGAGGACCTTGCAGATTGGTTCACTTGTTTGTATAAAATAGAAATAAATGGTGATTTATTTTTCGAAGTTATCGAAACTGGCATATTACTCTGCAAACATGCCAACGAAGTTATCAACTTCACCAAGGAAAGACGAGAAAAAGGAATTGAAATTATTATGAAATCATATTTTGTGACTCATATTCCTGAAAATTTGATCCAATATAAAGAAAACAATGTGAAGCCAGGATCATTTTTAGCGCGTGATAATATTTCTAATTTTATTTCGTGGTGTCGATTACTTGGCATACCGGATGACCTTCGTTTTGAAACTGAGGATTTAGTGACCAGAAAAAATGAAAAAAGTGTTATTTTGTGCCTCCTGGAAGTGGCAAGAGTTGGTGCAAAACTTGGAATGTTGGCACCAACTATTGTACAAATGGAGGAAGAAATTGATGCCGAGTTGGCTGGGGAACCCCCACCACAAATTATTACCTGTGATTTGAAATCTTTAGATGAAATGGTAAGTTCGAATGTTTTTAGGGGTTGGATGATGACAAAAAACAAAATTTACACCTGTTTCAGTTTGGTATATACCAGTTTCCAATCTTAATAGAACATATCATATCTATACAGCAAACTTGACACCATGACACAGTCTGAGTGAGGCACATATCTGATTACAGTTATGCTCAGCCAGACATTATTAAAAAACTTAGATAGTATATCTTATAGTATATCTTATCAGTTTAATACATACTAACACATACACAAATACAAAACACATACAGTTAACTATAAAGTAAAATGAAGTAGTATATCCATATATCAGATAACCTTTCTACTTATATGTCTTACAAATATTATCAAAACTGTTTTCAAATGAAAGTCAAATGCACTAAAAACCTGTAGTTGTCTGGCAAAAAAACCTCTAAATCAACAATCCTGTTGGAAGAATGTGTAAATCAATCAAGATTTTGATACAAATATCAAATATAAATCATTATGATATAAATACATCATAATTAGTATTCATAACTTTACATAATGTTATTTATAATTATATCATTTATATCACAGTACACATTTCTAAACTTAGATACATTATATATATAATTATACAGTGATGAAAATTTCATGATATATGTAAGCTTATATTATGTTACACTTGAACAAGCTGATGCATAAGAACACTTGTTAGAAATATATTGATCTTAGATATTTATGTGAATAAATGAAATTTGCTTGGGTCAAATATCTTTGAATTAATGGGGGTTAAAGGTTTTCTTGAGAGTGTGTATTACTAGAAGTAACAATTAACCATGGAAGATCACAATATGCATGTATATTATGGTCATATAACATCTTAGACTCAGCCACATGGACAAATACATACAAGGTAATAAAGACAGTAGCCATATTGACCTATGTCAATTTAAGAAAGTGTGAACCCTAATGTCTTAATTTAGCTGCTTGAGATGATTGAACCAGATGTTGTGTAAATAAATATAAAGTATTAATGAATTTTTGTATCTAGATGTAGATATTTATCAACATTCAATTTTATGTATAGTACTGGTATTTGTATAATCTAGGGCTTATAATAATTAGTATGTTAATAAGATGTACATGGTTACACAGAAACTCTTAATCCATTTGTTTGTGTAGTTCTTAGTGGTGAGGCTTGGAATTCTTATTCCCTTGTTCTATAGAACAGTCAGTTAGTGTTGCTTCTTCACTCATAATTCCATTCGACCCAGCTGAAAATGGGTACGGATAATCCTGGAAATATTAATGCCAAGAGGTTTGGCCAGCTGGTAGAAAGGATCCTTAACTGTGAACCTAAGTTGTTATCCTCATAAAATATAGTTGTTTCTTTCTGTCTTTTTTTCTCTGAGAACACCACTTAGGTTACATTCCCTATAATTGACTGTTGTACTAAAGGCTTGCCCTATGAACTGCAGTTTTGATTAAAAATATTATATATGCTGTTTTCTTTTATCTTGTTATATATATTTATGTTTCTTTGTAATTTTTACATGTTATAAAATGAAAGTGGAGGAATGTCTAAATTAGGAATGCAAAAAATGTAATAGCTTTTTTAATTCTATTTTAAATTCCATACAAATTGTATATATGCATAAACATTATGAAATAGATTATTTCAATCACAATATGTAGACGATAGAAATGAATAACCCAGTATCAAATAACAAATTAATAGATTAAGTTATGGCAATCTGGACTTGATCCAAAATCTCCCACTGATAATAAACTATGTGTTTTATTGACCTGGCTTTACAAATCATTAGTCATTTTTCTTTGACTGACAGAAATAAGGGGGTTGGCCACCCACATAGGTTTGTAGTTAGTTAGCTAGGCGTAGGTTTTGGGCATATTATTTGGCAAGTGTACATTATTACATGAACCTTTATACTTCTTAAATATGCAGATCTTAAATAAGATATCAGGCAAAATTTTCAGAGGCAAAGTTCCTTGAAAAGATAAGGAACCAGGCATTTTGGAAACTACTTTTGAATTAAAATCTGAAAGTAATGAATTTTTGAAACTTAAATCATCAGCCGAGCTGGCTTATTCAAATCTTGATAAGTTTTATCAAAAGTGTAAAATTAATGATATTGTCTTATCTAATCAGAAATCATAATCTTTAACAACAAGTATGAATAGTAATGAATATTTAATGACATAACAGCCATGTTGTAGGTTAGTTTGACATCAGACTAGATTGTTTTTAAACAGATGTTTATATACAGCTGTGGTCTGTTGCATCATTAGAGCTAGTTTGGTGCACAGTATATCATAGGTATTGACACATCGTCTCTTTTATACGTCTGAAATTATAGTGTTTCCCCTTAAGCAGGTACACCTTGTATTTGGGACTGATATAATGAATTTTCATAATGTCATATGGTTTTCTAAACTGCCAATCAACGTGGTTGCATGTATTGATTTTTATGTTTTGTTTTGTAAAAATGAACACATGCACCAAACTCAATCCTTGTATTTGTGAATGGGCAACCTGTCTAATATAAAAAGCAAAGCTAATTGTCCGTGTAAAAGGTGTTTACACTGTATGCTAATATACATGTAGATAAATAGACAAATATGTCCACTCAAAATTTTGTCGTTGAATTTTTAAGTATTCCTTGAAGCAAAAACAATTCTAACATTCTAATTTTAACATTGATATTATGCTTGTAGAAAACCTCAAGGTTATCATACTAAAATATGAATAAGATAGAAATTCAAATTAATTTGAAACTGTTAATAGATTTATTTTTGTTTTTATTTGACTTTATGTGACTTTTATGAATGACATTTTGAAAATCTGGAGGGTATGAAAACCTAAAGCTAGGAAGGTAGTTGAAATAGTTGAATTGAGGGATTATGTATTAACCATTCAATATCACAATAAGATGTATGATTATGAATGTGTAAGATGTTTTAAGGATGAGTAAGATGATTACTCAAAACATTAGATTTTGGCACAAGTATTTGTTAATGAACTCAACTTGGCTAGATCTACTCTTGAGAATTGTTCAAATATGCTATTGCATCATCCTCGATTTCATTCATTGATTTTTACAGTTGGTATGTTAACTTGACAAGATTGCTGTAGATGTTTTCTGAAGTAAGCTGACAAATACTTTTAGAAGCTATCTTTACCCTGAGTGTGAATAAAATAAAACATCATTTAAGACTTACAGCATCATGACGTTTTATGACATCATTTTGTAATGATTGTTGGGTATTTAAAACATAAATTATGTTAGTAGAGAAGCAGCAGGTGTTGAAAGAGTAAATGCACATTTCACAATTTAAATTACATACTGGCTCATTTTTTCAATTGCCAATCTGTTGCACAAGTATATACATATACAGGTACAAAAATTACCGAATTTGTGTAAGTTATCCCTAAAAAAGAGCCTATATTGTATCTCTGTATTAAAACAAAAGTTCAGTGTAACCCAAATGTAGCAAAATTGCAATCTGCATTATAAAAATCACAAATTGATTCCCAATTAAAATCAAATAGCCAAATGTGTCCAGTTTGTAGAAGACCAAAGTTAAGAATGAAATCTATCAGAATAAGTAGTTGATTTATGAGAAATCAATATTATAACTATTGTGAACTCCCAAGAGAACAGTCTTGTCTTCCTTGACCTTTTCTGATTATTACTTCATCTTGCTTGATATACACACAGCTTCAAATCACGATGTTGAGTGTAGGCCCAAAAACCTTTTTGTCAGCATAAAAAATTGTCAATGATTCAATGGAAAAGATATAATGTGTGTTCATTAACCTTCTCAACACCAGTGTCTGCTCTACTGGCCACATAACTACATGATATTCCCATGCCACTAGTAGAAGGTCTGTTACAAGTAGCATCACATAACATTAACATTTCTTCAATATACACCAACCAGGATGTAAAAAAATAAGCTTCAATATAAGATTCCTACTTGAACATGTTGCTTGACAGATCATTTATCTTGAGTGCCATTAGGAATTAGAAAATTTGTGCTATATTGGATCTTGAACCTAATCAAGTTCACATAAGGCTCCAGAAGAAATAAATGAATAAATGAATAAATGTCACAACACTAAGTGCCTTCCATAGTCTTTATGAGCAATTGCAAGTGAACAGACTGTCAGTTCTTTTGTAAAAGTTTGTTTGGCTGCACAAAAAAAAAACTTTTTGAAACTTTAAAGGTGCTTATCAATGGTAATAATAGGTGTTTCTGATAAAGACTGATTGGTATGGCAGAAATTAAAAAGGAAACAAAATTTATGATATGAAAATCAGTAAATAACTAGCCATAGAAGTAATCATTAAGTACTTTTTCCACATGTGGTTTCACAAACATTTCTGGTTGATGTCTTTTCATGATATTGACTTTATTTCCAATTTCTACTGGGTACAGCTTATTTTTCTGTTTAAAGTGGGTTATTTTTGTGTTAGAAGGTGTTAGAACTATATTTGATCAGAAAAAGTTTTCAGATCAATTTGTTTGATGAATAGGCTCGACTCTTTTACATAATTTCTCTTTTAAAAAAAATTGTGTACCTCTTTAATAAGGGGTTTGGAGCAGCCGTCACCAACATCAACAGACTTTGTTTGACCTGACGGCAAAGAATTGGTTGGAGACATCACCACAGATCAATGAAAACTTGATTAAACTAAACACTAAACTTTGTTGTTTTTAGAAGCTGTGACAAACCATTTAGAATATTTTAATCTGTTTCCAAAGACTTTTCCTTTGATAAAGTTTGATCAGTATCAAAGTACTATTGTTGTTAATCCTTCATCGGTAGTCAATTGTGGAAGGTTTGACATTTCAGACTGGCTGGGGACACTGGTTGTTATTGTCTACTGCAAATCTGGTAATTTTAGTTACGTTAATTGTGATTTTCTATTATACCTTAGTGAAGGACCTGAAGTATTTCTTTCAAAACATCTTGCTGCTCCCTATATTGGACTAATGGTAGGATTAGGCATGACAAGTCAACCACTGACTTAAGCCTGTTACACAACACGAAACCTGACAGATTAATTTCAACAGGCA